CCCCGGTTTCTCCGTGGCATCCCAACAATTACTCCATTCACACACATAAGAAGGCAATGGCAAACCACTTCTGGATCAACTGCCAAGAACGTATGTGAACAGGTCCCAGTCCGAGAAAAGGATCGAAGGATCGTGTTCATATGGACCTGTCGTCAGACAGAACACTAAATAATAATAATAATGACAAAAACACCAAAAATATCATGTACCAGATATCAGAAACTTGTTATACATAGGAATTCTGAAAATGAAAATTGCGTAAATAAAGAACTAATTTTCTGTCAGGGGGTTGATCTCTGAGAAAATAAATATTTATGTTGTATCTAATGTTATGTTAAAATTTTAAGTCACACGGTCTTTCTTGTTCTCTGTGACACCATCACCTGCAGTGTTGCCTGTTATTAATCATGCAACTGGGTTAAAATTATAATCGTAAAACAGAGTGAAGGGTGGTTCATACTCTTTGGTAACTGTACATGAATTTGGACTGTAATATTTAATATTACCTTTATAACTAAACTACTTTAATATGGTGTGTCACTAAATAACAAATTCTGGGAAGCAGAATTCCTTCAACATCAGTAGTCACTTAACTAGTCAAGAAATTAGATGCATAATTATGGAATGTGATGGCTTATTCTGTGTTAATAAAAGCATGCTGCTGATCCCAGTTCTGACTCAGGTGAATCCAGTCCAAATTTTCCTACACCGTTGTTTTCTTTTAATGTTACTCTCCCATCTTTACCGAGATATTCCAAATGGTTTCTTTGTTTCCAAATATTTTGTACTCATTTCTCATCTGTCCCATGTATTCTACATGTTCCACCCATTTCATCCTCCAAGCATGGTGTGTTAACTAGATTATGCCTTTTAGGCAGTCTTAATATGTGTGTTAAGATGCATCTTCTAGTGGCACACCATGCAAGCAAAGAACACCTTATGAACATGCCTGTCTTGTATAGTCTGGTATTGTATTATCAAAGCATTGATGATGGAGGCAGCAAGGACCTCTGAAACATTTGTAGACTTCTACAATACAACCTGGAAGACAGCCATCTTCATACTTCCTGCTGTGAGAATTTAAAATCTACAAAGAATGCCTTATGGGCTCATTCTTTCTGTCTCCTGCCTTTCAGTTGAGATTCTGCTGCCATCTCTGAGTGGCCATGTGAACTATTCTTTCCATGTAAAATAACTAGAATGGTTGAATGGATTTTCATTAAATTTGATGTTGAGGTTATGCCATTGGAGACCAGCCCAGACTTGTACTTTTTTATTTTGTTACAATATGTATATCCAAAGTGATGGATGTTCAAAGTTTTGAGGTGTTTATGTAACCATGTGATGATGTTATTTACCCATGAACCTCTTTGATAATGTCATCTAGGAAATGGCATCAATAAGCACATTTAAAAATTGCGGAACAGATTTTTATTTAATTTTGAATGGGCATTATGCTTATTTGAAGCTGTCCTGTGCTTGGTCTATATTAATTTTCTACAATCGGTAACACTGACATGATGGACACTCAAACTTGTTTGGTGGGACAATGAAGTCGCAATGCCGTTTTCTATCAGTTGTTATGACAACTAATTGTGCTGTCATTTATCACTGACAATATGAACTGTTCATGCTGTAATCTGTCAATGTCTGTATGAACTATGTGTCCTATGTCAGTAGGGATACAAATTATTTTATATTGCATCCATTGAAAGAGACCTAAAGAAATTTGAAATTTTACACACTTTTGAATCTTGTTTCTTATTAATTCATATATTTAATTGAAATTAATTTAATAAAATATAGCAAATCATTGCTTTTACTTAATTTCTTGTTTAAAGGTATAATAAAGAAGTACAGCAACTTTGTTGGAAGTCCTATCTTTCTCAATGGCAAGCGAGCAAATACAATACAGGTTAGTGGCCAATTTCATTTTACAAGTTCTGCTTTTTTGGTAGTGTCAAAATAAGTAAGTAGCTTTGGTCATTGTGTATGGGGATGGAAATTTGGGGAGAATAAAACTATTGAAATTATTCTTAATTTGCAAAGATAAGAAAATCAATAATTTGAATTAAAGTTGTTACTTCTAACCTTTTGTGTTATTAATTCTTGATGGCTAATTCATCAGTATATACTCTTTCAGCCCCTTTGGCTAATGGATGCCAAAGATGTGACTCCTTAAATGCATAATGAGTTCTACAGATTTGTTGGCACATCATATGACAAGCCCCGGTTCATTCTGCACTACAAGACTGATGCCCCATTGACTTTACGAGCGCTACTCTACTTCCCAGAAGGGAAACCAGGTAAGCAGTATATGTACTTCACACACAGACAATTCAGAATCATGATGAGAAGGCTCGTAACAATTTTTAATAACACAAAATGAATCAATATGTAGAATTTGTTTCACTTTAAATGTTTCTTTGTGCTTTTATGAGGAAATCACAGTGACGAGATTCAGAACTTACGTCGTTCACCTCAAATTGTTATAGTACTTTTTATAGTTACTGTGTCTCTGTGAAACTGCAGACACTAATAGGGCTTATGGTCCATGTCCCAGATGAATCATGCATGAATTTGGAGCTTTGATCAAACATATACTGATGGGGGAAAACTGGAGGTCTCTGAGAAAAACATGTCTCATTGCCACTTTGTCCACCACAAATCCCGCAAAGACTGATTTGAGGGCAAACCCAATCCTCCTCCGTAAGAACGTCACAACTAACTGCTTGTGCTTTTGCATGGCTGTTAGGGTGATTAAATAAATATGAGATGGGTAGAACATGTAGTATGCACGGGAAATGCCTGCACATTTTTTTATAAAATCTTTTGGGGAAGAAACCATTTTGGAGGCCTGGGGATCAATAAGATAGATCTTAGAAGAAGTGAGCATAGGAATGTGGATTGGATTCATGTGGCTCAGCGTATAGGTGGTGGACACTTGTGAACATGCTAATGATTTACTGGGTTCTATAAAAGCAGTGGATTTGTTTAATTAGCTGAGTAATTGTCAGATTTTCAACAAGACTATAATATGGGGTAAGTCAAGTTAACATTTTAAGATCAGTAGCTGGAAACTTTCGATGTAACTTTTCATACGTATGATCAGAAGTTTTCATGGCGACAGTATAATGAATTCTTCTTGGGATATCAGCCATGTCAGGTGGTCTGATGTAGAAAACACCAAAGTTTCAAGAACCATCTAGAGGGTACTTCAGATGGAGATGGTTCTTGAAACGTTGGTTTTTGCTCCATTAAACCACCTGACATGGCTGGTAACCTGAGAAGAATTTATTATAAGTTTTCATCTGTTAATTGATGACTGGCTAGAATGTTATAATATGGTACTGACTGTATAATTTTATGTGTAATTTGCATCATGCAAGCCCCTGAGTTTCTGCATCATACAAAACAATGTAATTAATATTTTATGGTGTGTCATCAACTAAGGCTGAATTTTCAGCTGTAATTGAATGTTTAATGTCAAAATTGTAATATATTTCATGTTTATTATATAACTGGCAAGATATTACACAAAGGATGTTCAAATACTGTGAACTGTTTTTCCTGTAGGTTTATTTGAAGTAAATTCTGACGCTGGGGTGGGGGTAGCTCTCTACAGTCGCAGAGTGCTTATCAAGAACAAGACAGATAATATCCTGCCTAAATTTCTGCGCTTTGTCAAACGTAAGTTCTATGTTTCTTTTTATTTTATACGACCCGTTCTTCAGTGC